AAACCCAAACAGCACAACAGTCACAATAATAACAAGTCACAATAACATCAAAGTGACATTAAAATGAATCGGAGATGATTGAAAAATGATTTTTGATGACCATTTCAGAATCATTTTGATATCATAATGACTTGTTGTTGGGAAATTCTAATTATATTTTTAAAAAATGCGGACGCATCAATACGTAAAAGACATCATCAGCTAATTAATTAATTATTTTATTTTGTAGATGGAGATCTGCATCGATTCTTTAGAGTCCGCTAGAAACGCGATAGAAGGTGGTGCTAGCCGATTGGAGGTTTGCTCGGCTCTCTCGGAGGGTGGTTTAACACCTAGTCTAGGTTTAGTTCAACAAATTAAAAGTTTCACGACGATTCCGCTGTATGTTATGATCCGCATTCGCTGTGGTAATTTCATCTACAGTTCCGAAGAGATCGACGCCATGCTGTATGATTTGAAAATTCTTAAGGATCATCACGTAAACGGATTTGTCTTTGGCGCTTTGACTTCCGATTGCGACATTGATATTGTTGCGTGCAAGAAGATTATTTCCGCTGCTTGTCCCTTACCGGTAACATTCAGTCGCGCTTTTGATTTGACGAATGATCCTATCAGATCGATGGAACTCCTTGCTGATCTTGGTTTTGAGAGAATTCTAACTTCAGGACAAAAAAATACTGCTCTGGAAGGTTTAGAGCTGATAAAAACGTTAGTACAAAAAGCCCAGAAACTAGTGATTATGCCCGGAGCTGGCATCACAAAAGATAACATTCGTAAAATCATGGAATCCGGTGCCAAAGAATTTCACGCGTCAGCGAAAAAAAGGAAAATGGTAATCTATGGAGCGAACAGAGTCAAGATGGGCATCAATAACGATGATTTTGTTAACGTGACTGATAAGGAACTGGTGAAACAATTAGTCGAGATCATTAAAAATGAAAAATACACTACGTGAAAAATAATTAAACTTAAAAATATCTAATTATTATCAAATACTTTTTTATGTAATTAATATCTAAATAATATATTTAAGAATAATTTGATTATTGTAAGTTAACTGATACATTATCTTCGTACTTTTGTATTGTCCGCACGAATAAATTACATTTTAAACATAAATAAGAAAATCATTCAAGACCATGACAGGAATCAAACGCAAGTTGTTTTTGAAGCGCAAATACATTTAATTATAATAAAATTAAAGAATGTTTTGACTTTAGATTTGAGTTCCTCCTCAGTTTAAGATAATTATATAATAGACAATTATATAATATCGCATATTACAAAAACGCAAACATCGCAATTTTTTGATGGTATGTCGAATGTGATCTTTCTGATAAGGACACAAGAACACAAGTTGTCCAAGTCGCAGTTGCATAGCTGAGTTAAGATAAACCTATAGCTCACATTTCCAGACAGGTTACAAATAACCTTGTAGTCGAACCAAGAGTGCAAAATTCGTCACATATTAAAAGTGGAAATTTTTTGAATAAAATAAAATAAAACGAGCGAACATGTTTTATATAATTAACATTACAACGCTTAATCAATTACATTTTATAAATTACATTTTATATGTGATTGACTAAATAAACTAATGGCGAATTCAAATGGAAGCACTGGTATATATTAAAACCGTTGTACACTGATTTAATTTGAATATAAAAATGAAATGCAAATATGAAATACATATTTTACCTAATAGTACAATAAAATATATTGAATATTTCAAGATTTAATCGATTTCTTTGTTTATTTTATAAACATATTTTTACGTTATTTTGTATACGATGACTTTAATGTACACTAGTGCGCACTGAGTGCGTTCAATCGAATTTGTTGTAATACTTTACTCCGGGCGACAGAATATATATATATATATA